AGATTTCGATATGGATGTATTAAATTTATTATAAAAAATATCAAAAACAAGTGTTGAATTAAATTAAACTAATTTTACTAGATAAAATGGTATAAATATATAATAAGATTTTAGTTTTGATAATTAAAAATTAAGAAGTCTAAAAATATGTTGATTCAATTTTTGAATAAAGAAATTAATATTGGTTAGAATAACAAACAAAAATAAATAGAAATTTGGAATCTTTAAATGATAATTTAAATTAAATAGTTGAATAATGGTTAAGTATTCCTATTGATACTACTACATCAAGATAATTAATAACTAATGCTTGTGCTCTATTCTTTATGAGAACTGCTAAATTACCTTAAATAAATGAAAGAGTTATTTTAAAAGCATTTCATTGTTGTATCAGTTAAGAATATAATATTCGAAGTTTAGGAAAGTTATTGTTGTATAGATTAATTTAGATTTGTATTTTTAAACATAAATCATTTAAATAAATAAGAAGAAATTCTGAGGATTTCTAAAATTCTAAGATCAATCTAGATTAATATAATGTCTATAGATTTATTTTGCCAGAAGATTATAATTATTATAAATTAAATGATTATAATAATAAGGGCTAGATATTTTTATATAATTCACTTATATATACTGAGATAAATAGAGAAGAAGTTAAAAAAGAATTATAAATACTTAAATCCATTAGTTCTGATTAATGGCATCAATTTATTAATATGATGATTATTGATGAAAGTGTATTAGATTAATAACAATCATAATAACCAAGGATGTTCTATTAATTTATTTAGGATTAAACATTAATTCCAAATTTATTCAATGATATTGATAATTAAGCCAATGATAAATTCTTTTCTAATAAAGTTATGAAGTATCCTATTAGATTTATTTAATTATTAAAAAAAGTTTAGTTTATGAAATATTTATTTACAGTTACAGATTATGAAATTTTTAATCATACAAAAAATTTAATTGATTAAACTAATATAGATTAAATGCCTTTTTTAAGAATTTACTTATCAAGTTTGTTATATGCATCTCATTCATCTTGGGATTGTAAATTTAAATAGGAGATAATAGATTATTGTATAGATAAATTTGAAAAGATCATAATTGATTAATCTAAAGATGAATTTAAAACTCTTGAGTATTATTTAAATTTTGCATTCTCAAGATGTGATCTTAGAAAACAGGAATAATTCCTTTTATCTATTTTAGATAAAGTATAAAAAGAAACTGATAATAAAAAGTTGAGATGGATATATCTATTTTATACAACTATAGATTCAAAGTAAAATTAATAAATTAAATTACTTGATCATTTATTATAAACAAACTTAGATTTTTCAAATTTAAAAGCTATTCAAACATTCATACCATTAATTATTGTTTAATAGAATAAAAATCCTCATAATATTGAATTACTATAGAAATTTGGAATATTAGAATAATTTAGAAATCAAACTTAAATTTTGTTTGAAACTAAGTATTTCCTTTATGAAAATTCAGAGATTTTCTGTAAAGGATTAAATTTCTTAGTAGATTAATTTTAGTAATTAAATATTAATGGGAAAATTAATATCATAATAACATTATTTGAAAGTTGGAAATCAATGAAGTTCTACATTAATCCATATATATTATAAAAAATATTGCCAATTGTTGAATATCTATTGACAATAAATGAAGAAAATAATTTATAATAACTAACATATGGATTGTAGATCTTTTAAAACATAAGAATTAAAGAATGTACCATCACTTTAATTCAAATGACATTAAATTTATTAAAGGTTTCTTAAAATAATGTCAAAATAAGATAATTGAACTTTTTAAAAGTAATTTTATATTATTATACTTAGATACTCACAAAAGAGATTTTACATATTAATAGACCTGAAATATTAAATAATATTGTTTAGTATTTGTTAGATGAAAATAAAGTAGTTATGTAATCATGTTGTGAACTTATAACTTAATTGATTCAACAAATGACTTTACAAGAACTAAATTGCTAGTTGGAAATCTATTTAAAATTAGTAAATATTATTTTTAATTTAGGCAACAAATAAGGAAACTGAACTCCTAGGTAAATAAGTGCTTATGGCTATTATTATGGCACATCCACGTAACATTTAACCATGGATCAATTAAGTTTTGAAAGTAGTATTAGAGAAACACAATAAATTGCAATAATAATAAAAGAAATTTGCAGCAGACTATTTAAAACTCTATAAAACAAACTAATTGATGGAAATAGAAGATATATAGATATAAATAGATTTAATTGAAAAAATGAGTGAATTATCGAACCCGTATAATTATTTTGCTTGAGATAAGATATAATTAATTTCATTTTAACATAAATTATTTATTTTAATCTAAATTTATAGAAATGTTTGTATATATAAACAATTTTTATTTTAAAAGAAAAGTAAAGAAATATATTTAATTGAAATTAATTATTATTAATGTAATCTTCTTTTTAATATATATATTTCTCAAGAAATATTTGAATTAGCTAAAGTTTTGCTGATGATTGGACCTTAAGTTGTAATTAAAAGATGACCTAAAGTTTTAATACTTTTAAATACCATCAAAAACTGCTTAAAGATTTTCATTTGTCTTTAAAAGAGGGGCAACCTTCTCCCATTATCCTTTCTTTGGATTCAATACTTCTTCTCTTTCATCCTTGAAAATATTTTCATGTCCTTGGATTTTAACTCTCTCTCCAACTTTACTTCCTGGAGCTGGTCTCATTAATTCTACTTTTGTGTGAGAAGCATCAGATGCACATAAAACCATACCATTAGACATAAATCCTATTCATGTTTATAAAATGTATAATACCTGCTAATTTTCTTGGTTTGAGATTAACTAATACTAAAACTTAACCTGTCATCTCTTCAATAGGTACAAATTATTATAATCCTGAAGCTATTTATCTTACTTCTCCTCCAATATCTATTTCTTCACAATATAATTTATCTGATTCTTCATGCTAATATTTAATTATGAAAAATACCTTCCAAACTTTTTTTAATTCACCAACTCTTATATCTACACTTACAAAATCTGTAAATGGTCCAAAATCTTAAGGTGCTGGGGCAGTTGCCTTTTTACCTTATTAAGGTTATTTTTCTGGTTATTTTTTGTCTTATTATGGTTGTTTCTCTTTTTTCTCTGTTTATTCCTTTTTTTATGGTTATTCTGTCTTATTTCCTGTTTATTCCTTTTTTTAAACTTATTCTGTTTATTCTTTTATTTATTGAGGTTATGCTTATTATTCTACCTTTGGATTTGAATCATTTTCTTATTTAGTATTAAGTTGAATAAATTCAGCAAATGGGGATGGCTTATGCTCAACACCTAAACTCTTTTCTAATTAATAAATTATTGTTTCAAGTTTGAGTAGGGTTGGTTTAAATTAAGATATTGTGTTCATTTTTAAAATGTACTTAAATTAAAGAATTAAATTCATTTATTTATATATAAATAATAGTGAAAGAATAATAAATAATATCATTTTATTTTTAATGGAGGTAGTACTCTTCTATGTGATTTAAGCTTCATTTTATTAGAAGCACCAAAAGACTCTTAAAATGAAGTTGGTATAAAATATTTGTTAATCATTTGAGTAGATTTCTATTTCAAAGATCTTGCTGAACAATTCTAACTTTTTTCACATTTATCTTTTTCAAATACCAAGATATTTTCCATAGATTTCTTAAAATTAGTTTTCTATGTTAATGAAAAATCTAAAAACTTTCCTTAATAATCAATCCTAGGAGTAGTATGACATTAATTTTTATGTTTATTATTTAATTGTAAGATCTTAAATTTATTTTAAGTTGGACTTGAATTTGTTTGATTTTACTATAGATTTGTATTTTCTTGTTCTCCTTCTTTCACATTATCTTAAAATGTTTAAATTCTAGGTGAATTTCGATATAAATATTATAAGAAAAATAATAACTTAAATTACTATCATATTAAAATATATTGCTTACTTATCTAATTTGCTATTCTTTTAAGAATTAGTCTAATTATTATTAATAAGTTAAAGGAATCTTTTCATGAAATTTCCTAGTAATCCATGGATGCATCAAAGCTTAACTTACATTATATCTATCAATAGGATTGACATTAATTAATTTAAAGAATAGATCTTTAGCTAAAGGTGAGATATTTAATGGGATATCAATTGAAGGATTAAGGATCTTCTTAATGAAATCATATTTAGTGTCATCCTTATTATAAAAGGGATGTACTCCTCCATTTAATAACATATAGAGTATAATTCCACAACTCCAGGCATCGACTTATTTGCTATACTAAATAAATGTTAGAATAAGTAATCTACATATTTTTCTGTAAATTGTTCTGGTGCCATATAAATAATAGTTCCACATTTTTTATTTAATAATTTATGAAAATTGCCTTCACTAGATGAGAATCGAAAACTCAATCCAAAATCAGCTATTTTCACATTTGTTCCTGTCAACATTATGTTCTCTGGTTTTAAATCTCTATGAATAATTGATTTATCATGTAAGTAGTTTACTCCATCTAAAATTGATTTCATAATAATTGCTGCTTCTTATTCATTTAATTGTTTCTCTTTCATTATCTATGATAATGTACCACCTTCCATATATTCCATAATTATATAATAGTATTTTTTGTTTTCTGAAATCTTAATAAATATTTTTTACTCATACTCTTTTGCATCTCACAATATTAGGATGATTCAATTATAAATAGATATCCTATTCAGGAGTAGTATTATTGTAAACTATTTTGGATATAACCTCTTAATTGTTGTTGAAATTACCTTTACTGCACAAATAGATTTGTCTGTTAAATCTATTGCTTTATAGACTTTGCCAAAACTACCCTCTCCTATTTTGGATATTTCTTTCAATTAATGTAATTACTACAGAAATTGAATGTTTTCACCTGTAAACATGTTAAATTAGGTAGTTAAAATAAAATTATCATTTATATTATAAAATAACTTATACATCTTATCTCTGTATCAATGTCTGTAATTTATTCAAATAGATCTCATATAAATAATCACTTGCAGATGAATAAAATTCAATTGCCTAGTTTTATATCAGCTATTACTTATTGATATAAATCCATAAGTTTATTAATTGTCTATTAATTAAATTTCTTATCAATTTCATTTTCTAATTAATTTAGATTTTTCATAATTGAATTGATTTTTTATTTCTCTGCCAATTATTAATCACCAAATACCATATAAGAATTAGATGTCATTCTAACATGTTGATATTAATTCAATCTTCTTAAAAATAATCTGATAAATTTATCATATTCATTTATAGTAAATGTTTATTATTCTTCTTATTTATTTTTATAATTCTTCCAACTTATTGATAATTATGTGCTATTCTCTTTCTTTCTTTTTAATTATACACAACTCTAAAGTGGAGCTCTGAATATCAATCTTACATAATCATCCTTTCCATCTATCATTTCAAATAAATAAAAATGAGCATCACTCAATCCAATTAATCTAATTATTTATTAATATTTTCTAACCTCACTTAAATATTTTAGAAAAAAGCATTCTATTATTAAATTGTTGGAAATCTGGCTAAATCTGGATAATCCTTTAATTCATCTATTGAATATGAACTACCTAAATAATATTGACCTATATTTTAAAGATAAATTTTATCAAATCTATTCAATAATACTCTATCCTATAAATCATATTATTAAGTGGAATACTAAAAATGATGGAATCTATTTAATTATTGAAACTAAAGATAATTTGTAATTCCATGGCTACAATAATACATCAGCTATTAAGTTTCTGCCATCTGCCAATGTAGGTCTAACGAACTTACATTAATAATAAGAATTACAGTAGTTTTACAAACTATTCTAACATCCTTTACTGGATATTGAGCACCAATTTATATTGTAAAAACAATCAAATCTATATTTTATAATTCATTATTTGCATAAACTTCTACTTTTTATTTGATTCCAATCTATATATATATATGTTAATAATCATTTATTACATCTAATTCTATCCATCTTTTTGATTTAGTATTTTAAACAAAATTTAATTCATATTTCTCTTTGGTACATAATGATACGACTTCATTCATTTCTAATTTATAATTGCTCTCAACCTGCAGTAAATCGTTTAACTTGTCCTTCTAAACTAAACAATTCTTTTGACCATTAAATTATAGCCTCTATCTTTGAATTTTCAACTTGAACATTCATTATTATTATTATAATTATATTAATAAATAATCTTTATATAAAATTAATTGTATATTATTTAGAAAAAAATGAATATAGAAATTAATTATTCATAATGTAATCCAAGAAAATAAGAATTAAAACTTATGATTTAAGATATTATGATTTTTCTTTAAATAATTTTTGTATTAATATTTGATAACAATTATAAAAGATAAATTAAGTAAGTTATGTTCAAAACATCCTAAATAAATATTTATTATTGTATCCTCACTTACTTTTAGCTTATTTGATATAAAGTCCTTTTTTTTGTTTATATTAAATTAATGATATATATAACAATTATAGTTATAAAAAAAACAAAATTTTTTAATAAATGAAATTTAATTTATATAAATTCATTTGAATTAAGATTTAGCATATTTATCTTTCAAATCTTGTTATTCTTGTTTACTATTTTTGAATAGCTATAATAATAATTAAGTATCCAATTTATTTTGAATTCTATTATATTTATAATAAATATACTCTCTGGATTATGATAAATCAGAATGAGGTTTAGTAAATATTTCAACATTTTTGAGTCTTGATTTCAGATATTTTTAAATTGAAGATTAAGGCAATAACATCATTAATCCTTATAAAGATTAGATAAGAAAAGGATGATTAGCTGACTCTAATAATTGTAATCTTAAATATGCAAAAACAGGTGATTCTAATTATAAAGTTAATCTTGCTATTTAAACTAAGATCTCTAGATTAATTTCTTGTTCTGCAATAGTTAAAATAATATTGTAAGTTAATTCATACTCTTCAATTAATAGAGATAATGATAATGCACTAACTTCATTATAACAAAATGTTTTATAGATGCTAATAAAGAATTCATAAGTTGCTTTAGCTGTTTTTAAATTCTTTTCATATTTATAATTTTTAAGTTTCATTCTAATATTTTATAAACGAGGTTCTGTAATTAATAATTATTCTAATGATTAAACTAATTATTATGTAAAAGCTAAATCTATATTTTCATCTTCAACATATACATAATTTTCTAAAAGTTTATTACAGATTTGAGTATAGACAACTTCAGCATTCCAAAATTCACAAAGTTTCTTTATAATTATTTAACTCATTCTATTTAATAAATTAACATTTTTATGGAATATATCTAATATTTTCTCTATAACCATATCAAAATATTATTCATGAGATATACGAGCTAAAACATCCATAACATTTTCAACAACTTAAGCCTCAGCATCTTTTAATCTTTCAATTAACTAATTTAAATATTAATTATTTTACATTTTCTAAAATATTTTCAATCATTGGTTTTAACTTTTCTGTTTATGTATTCAATAAATGTCTCATCCACATTAATGCCTTTTCAGCAGTATGATTATTTTTTTCTTTAAGCATATCTTAAATAGTTGGCATAATATCAACAAATTCTTTACCTGATGCCTTCATTTTATCCATAATTTACAATAATAAATCATTTATTTATTATGCTTAATTTACAATCTAAGGTGAATCAAGTGATAATAAAGATAATATAATTTTCAAAATATTATTTAATTTTTCCATAATAACAGATTAAAGTACTGAATCTTTTTTTTATTCAAATATACTAGACATTAAATCTATTCCTTTAATAATTTATCCTCCACTTAATTCTAATTGATTAAATTAAACCTAAGGTTAATCTAATTCATTGCTAACTATTTTTAAATATTCCATAATCCAATTTAAAACCTAAGATAAAACATGAGCATCACTTTATTTATTTTAACATAAATCTAATAATATATCTATGATTTATCTATGAGTTTTCAATTCTTATGATTAATTAAAAGATGATCTTTTTGAATATCTTTCTAAATCTCTTTGAAATTCTTCTAATTATTTTTTAGCAGCTACTTTAGCTTCATTAGTAAATGGATCCTTATTATTTGTATCTGCTAACATAAGAAATAGTTCAACTAAAAAACCATCAATATAATCAAATAATTCTATATGTGGAATAGAATTCAAAGTATTAATCCATGAAATTAGATTTAATTTCACTTATTGATTTTTGAAAACTATTTATGTACTTATAGTCTTAACAAATGTCTATATCTTAAAATTCTATTTTTCAGGTGCTGTACTTGTTACTAAACTTTTTAAACAATTATCTAATTATGATGCTGCTTTCCTAACAGATTCATCTGGATCTAAAAAACTTTAAACTAAATTTCTATATATTTCTTCCAATTTAATTAGAACCACATCACCTAATAATTTAGAAGTCAAAAACAAATATTCAATAGCTGTATATCTTACTCTTTCTTCTTTGTCTCTCATACAATCTATCATTGGATCAATAATAGAATTCAAACAATTCTTTATATTAGACTCTGGCTTTCTAATAATTATTAAATAATACTTTTTTTTAAATCTCAATTGAAATTGAATATAATCCATGTAATCCTCCTTTTTTATATTAAAATTATTATTGTGATATGTATCTCTCTTTTAAATGTTTTGCTATTTCTATTACTGTTTTATCTTGAGCTGTTGAAATTACTTTCATTAATTCTTATCCTCCTATTTCTCTTTTATCTTATGATCTATTAAGTTTTTTTTATTGTCGAGTACTTATCAAATAGATTTTTAGTTACTGGCTCTGGTAAATTGATATTCTTTTCGTCCATTTTTTAATATAATATAAATTAAATATATATATATATGGGTTAAGAGAAATTAGCTGCATTGTTGCTATATAGATAATTATTCAAATCTTTAGGAAACCAAATGTCTAGAGATTAATTGAAGAAATATTATTAATACACTGTTTAAGCAAGAATATTAGGGGAAAATCAATTAATTTTGAAAAATTTAGAAGTTTATTTAAAAGCAATCAAAACTCAAAATTAAATAATGAATTATGAAAATATAGGAAAACCAAAAGATTATAAAGCAAATCTATAAAGAGTATCTAGCTATGTTGGATTAAGAATGCCTAAAACCTATTAAAAATAAGAGTGATTTATATAAAGATCTATATAATTTTAATTCCATATCATTTTTAAGGTGGTTAACTAGAGAATCTAAATTTACATCCAGTTGCTCTTTCTCGACAACCTAAAACTGATCTATTTATCTTTATTTATTTTAATTATAATCCATCAAAGAGTTAAATACTTTCATCTAAATCTGTATATGAATCATTCTCCTTTACTGAATATTCATCCTAATCTTAAAATTACCAGTTTTTCTTTAATCTATATAATTGTTCATATTCATATCTTTTTATTAACTTATATATTTTATAATTATGTAAACAACATTGAGATGCAATTTAATTAAGCTTATTTCTACAGAATAATTTGACTTCTGATTATTATAAAAGTATAGCAACTATTTCAAAATGACAATTTGAACAAGCTAAATGCAAAGGAGTTTAACGTTTCTTCCCACCTTTAAGATTTAAATCAAATTTTAATTATTTCTTATTGTTGTGTTAGATAACTGCTGAAATAGCATCTGTATTACCCCTTTTTACAGCTATATGTAATGGACTCCATCCATCATGATTAAGAGCATTTGGATTAATATTCTTTTTAAGTAAAGCAACGAATGCTTACCTATATATGGAAGCATCTTTATCAAAACATGCCATACAATAATGTAATGCTGTATTACCTTTTTCATCAATTTGATTAGGATCTGCACCCTAAGTTAATATATCAAGTATTAAATGGATTTGACCTTTTACAATTGCTAAATTCAAAATTGATCCATATTTTGCTGCATTTGTGTTTACAGATGCTCCATTAAATATTAATGCTTTAGCACTAAAATACTTTTCTTCTTAAATTGCTAATCCTAAAGCTGTATTTTGTCTTTAATCTTAACAATCTACAATTTCAGGATAATAAGATATTAGTGATAATAAAGCACCTATATCTTACTCAACTGCTGCTTTATGCAAGATTGTAGTTGAATATTCTTTATCTCCTCCTTAAGGATTAGGAAGTATATTTAATTAAAGATTTGAAAATTAAACAAGAAAGTCTTGAAAGTTCATTCCAATAGATGAGCTATACTCTTCATCACTAAACTTGATATCAATAATACTGATACATTAATTTAAGAGGGATCTTCTACATCTTTGAGTTATTTTTCCTCAAGAGATTGAAATAGTTTTTCTATATATGGTCTATTCACAATAGGATCTATTGGAGGATTAAGGTATTTAAACCAATCCAAACCTAATTCATTTAATTTCTTTAAATTTTTAAATTCAATTGGAATATATTAGAATTCATTTGATTGAATAAAAAGAGATCTTAAATTTATTAGTGTTATTAATGGATATAGTTTTTATAATCTATTTTTACTTAATTCTAATATCTCTAGATGTGATTACCAATGAGATATTTTTTTTGGAAGCATTACAACTAAATTATTGCTAATTGAAAAATTGATAATAGATGGAAAGTTGTCAAATAATTCTTCAGGAAGTACTTTAATGAAATTTGAATTTAAATTGATTATTTAGACTTTTTTCATTTAATATAATTCTTTTGGAAACAACCTGAACCTATTATCCTATATAGTATTTGATTAATACTTAAAGATCAACCATTTAAATATTAGCAAAATCACATTTTATTTTTGGAAACATATCAATATTTTATTTTGCTAAGTTTAACAAATAAGTGTTGAAAGATATCTTTTTTGAATTTCTTCCAGAATTAACTTCTTTTGATTAATATCGATTATATTAAACAGTTTCTGTTTAAGCCACATGCTTTGAATATTCTCTATTTGGAGAATGATTGTTGCTTACAAATAACTTTGTTTTAAAGAAATTTGTTTTAGAGCTATTGTATTTGTTAGATTGTTCAATAAGAGTGACAATGTTTGAATCCATTTTAGTTAAATATATAATATAAAAATATATCATACATAGTTCATCCTTGTATTTCAGTTAATTCTCCCATTAATTACCTATTATCATAATTCAATTAATTACCACATATTTTCAGTATCACTATAGTTAGTAACAGGGAATTTTGATACAAGATCTCTTTAAATAGGAAATATCTAATCGACTGTTAAAACAAAGGCATCATCAATCATTCTTGGTATTAACATTTATAATAATGGACTAGATTCTTCAAGACAAGGATTAGTATTAACTTCTATTAAATAAGTATTGAAGAGTTCATCCAAAAAGAAATCAAAACCAAAAATCTCCATACAAAATTTTCTATTTAACTTATTGATCTTAGTTGCAACTGTTTTCATTGCAAAATATGCCATTTCTTTCATTTTCTCAACTATCTATCCTCTAAAATCTATTTTAGATTTGAAATAATCAGAAACTGAATCAAATGATAATTAATTTCCTAATTCTTATTATCCATATTTATCACTATGTTATTAAATTGCATTATTTGTTAAATGAATATAAATATTATCTACATCATTTGTTCTATATTCTTCAGATGCCATTCTTATATAGCCTTCTCTAATAAAGTATAAAACATAATTTTTACTTAAAAAAATAACAACTCATATCAGTATTAAGAAATACCCAAACTCTTATGTCAAATTTTCTATTTTTTATTAATAAAGGTTTCTCAATATATTTCTGTACAACAAATGATGATGTTTTCAATAAATATTAAACAACCTTTTATTGAGTTTATCCATTCTCATCTTTATATGTTTCTATTTATTTTTCATGATAACCATATTAATAATCAATTAACAATTCAACAAGATTGTCAATATCTTAAAAAACATGAATTCCTCTTCCTCTATTCAAACCTGTTGGTTTCAATAGCCATAAATAATCAGGACCTGTAAATGAATCTCTCATTTGAAATTCCAATTATTTTTTATCTTTACTAGGAGCTATTCTTAGTTTCTTTTTTATTTCATTTAATTTATTTTATGAATCTTATTTATTTAATTATTTTTATTCTGGTGCATTTTTATTATAGAAATTATAAAAGGCAGATATATTCGATTCAACTTATGCATCTGTAAAATCTATAGCAAAAGTTACAGGTGTAATATCAAAAGGATTCAATTTAAGAATCTAATTAAAAATTCATTTTACTTCACAGGCTGCTGATATATTCAATAATAAATTCTTTTTATTACTAATTTCAGGATGAAATTCAAAATGATTCAGTAATTCTTTATGAGATTTATGCCAATTCAATTTAAAATATTTATAACCATGATTAGATTATTACCATCTAAAATTAGCTCTAGCTGTATTAGTAGTCTAATGCCAATCTGTTCTATAATCAAATACACGTTTTATTAATTCACTATTATTTCCTCCACCTAAAAAGTATGAATACATAGTTGGTTATGATTAAGAATTAATTTCTATAGGTGTTGAAGGTTAGGGTTTCATAATTGATATCGTATGTCTAATATTTTTAGAAACTTTAATTGGAGGGGAAGGTTATTCACCAAATGATTTATCTTATTCTTTTTATCTCTAAGTATCTTTTGATAATAATTTGTTTTTTTATTTTAAAATTTTTTCATTCTATTTATTATTCTCTTTAACATATTATTCTTTTTCTCTCTCTTATTCTTTAATCATTTCCAATTCTCTTAGTTTATCACGACTTTTTGAACGTATTTAGTTAAATCTATTTTTTTCTAACCTAATTTATGGAGTTTTCAAAGCTGGTAGACCTTCTGATGTTTGTGGTTGAGATACTTAAATTTTGATTGCAGATTTAGCTTCTCTCTTCTTACCTTTTTTTATTTCATTTTATATAAATTAATCAGCTAATACTTTAGCTAATTCTTAAGGACTCTTAAAATTAGGTAATTTAGCTAAAGAACTTGTGAAAAAGTTACTAAATGCCTTACTCTCTAGACTTTCTTTAACTCTTTATAGCATTTCCCAATTTTCAGATTGTATTGTTTTACTTTCTAAATAATATATTCATGTATATTATACTTTAAACAAAATTTAAATCTATCTAAGAAGTATTTCTATTTGATCTTTAATTAACCAAATTTGGTAATTGATTTAAATTATTGTTTTACTGTTCTTCACTCATGAGTATTTATTAATAAATTAATTAGTTTATTTTTTTGGATAAAAAACAAGAATTATTGTTATAATAAATAATAAATAATTCAAAGCTAACAAACATATTCCCATAAGTTCTCTTCATTTGGATAATTAAGAAATGGGTATTTTGATGGTGTCTTTTATTAAATGAATAGTCTGTCAATTGTTAATTTAAATGCATCATCTACTTATAAACTAATTATTACCTATTAATCTTGGAAACAAACTTCCTAATAATTTACTAGTTACTTCTAAACTAGGATTTGTATTCACTTCTATTAACCATGGTTTAAAATTCTCATCTAAAATAAAATCCATTCCAAAGATTTCAAAACAATTTTTCCTTTTATATTTATTTATTTTTCCTTTAACACTTGTAAAAGCTAAAATAGATATCTATTTCAATTTTTGAATCACCTTTATATATAAATTAATTTGATACTTCTTTTCTAAAATCTATTTTAAAATATTATGAAGCTTGATCAAAATTATATTGATTACCTTCTTCAGTTTTTCCATACTAAGGATGTGTGTATTAAACAGCATTATTAGTTAAATGTACATAATTAGATTATTATTTAACATCAAATGCTTCTGTAGCCAATCTTATTTATCCTTCTCTAAATAGTAAATTAAATTTATACTTAAAGAAAAAGAATCCTAAATTAGATGTTATCAACACATATGTTCTAATATCAAATTTCCTTCCTTTTATTAATAAAGGTTTTTCAATATATTTCTAAATTACAAATTACTCTGTCATTAATGTATTAATGTATATGATTTTTGTTACTATTTCATTATTTTCATTTCTTTTCACTTCCAATAAATGTTCTCTATATCCATTTTAATATCTATTATAAATATCAATTATCTCTTATAGATTTCTGACTACATGAATTCCTCTTCCTTAATTCATATTTGCTGGTTTAAAGATCCATAGATTTTCTCCAGCAAATAGAGTAGAATTTTAATCAATTTTACTTTCCAATTATGTACCATACTTAAATTAATATGATTTTATTGTTTTATCTAATTCTTGTAATTAATTTTAAGGACAATATGATCTATAGAATGTTAAGAACTAAAATAAACCAGCTTTTAAATTCTAGTTTGTACATTCTATTGCAAAACTTATAGGAATATAATCTTATACGTTTAATTAGTTTTTCTATAGTTTATAATTAATAGATAGATTACTTCACAATATGTCTTAAAATTTAATGCTAAGTGATATTTATTTGAAATTTCAGCATGAAATTCAAAATGATTAAGCATTTATGGTGTAGAATCTTTTAAATTCCCTGCTAAAGTACGATATTCATACCCTTTCTCAGTTTCTTACCATTTAAAGTTAATATTCTTAAGGCTAATATCTTTGACTTGAACCCAATTTTATCTTTCATCTAATAACTTCTTAATTAACTCATGGTTGTTCCCTTCTCCTAAATAATAGAAATATGTAGAAGGCGTTGATCTCTTAGACTAAGCCGATAAACATTTAATAGGATGTTATACCGAAAAACTTCTTGGTTAAGTATCCTTCCTTTTAGGAACTGGGGGTAACTTTCGTAGTTAAGATTCCTTTCTCTATTTCTTTGCTTTAAATTATGCTTTTGCCTTTTCTATTGCATCTGTTTCCATTTATTTGTAAACTATATTTCTACTTTTTTTCCTCATATTATTCTCTGTTAAATATCTAGAAGGTAGTTGAGCACTAAAATATTAAATAGCTAATTTCTATGCAAGTTCTCTGACACTGCGGCTTTAAATTTTGCTAGAGTTGGATACATATTTATCAAAGAATTAAGAGAAAGCATCTTAATTTTATAGTGTAAGTTTTTATGCATTCAACATTTAATATATTAATATTCTTCAATTACTCTGTTTTTATTTTAATGATAAGAATACTACACATTTCTTATCATTAAATTAAATAAAAATTGTAGAAATCAACTTAAAAGTTATATCATTTAATTATATTACTAAATTGTCCATGGATAGCTTTTAAAATAATTGCTATGTCTCTTTCTGGATTAACAGATTTATCAATTGTTTTTTTATTATAATTAATTTTTCTAAAAATTATTTCAAAAATAATAGATTAGAATAAAAAAATAATAGTTTTGAATAATAAAACATTTCTTGGAACTATTTTAATTGTTTTTAACATATTGCTTAATAATATAATAAAGTAGATTGTCAATATAAAAAATAAAATTGAATATAAGATAATATTAATTAAATGTATCTAAAATGGCTAGTGCTATTTTACATACATAAATATAAATTAAATATCATTAGTTCTTTTTATTATGTATCTCACACAAAATATCTAATAAAAATCTAAATATTTATATTTTTCAAAATTACAAAATAAGAAATAATAAAAGTAATTATTATGATTGATTCCTCAAATATTAAATAAATTTCAACAGCTGGCACTAGTCTTTTAGAGAGTAAAATACTGAATTTTTAACCTAAAATAATTGGTTACCTACAACATATTGAATAATATCCTAAAAAATTGATTCCTTTAAAACAAATACTACCTATATCTATCAAATTACTAAATTTTATTCTAACTAACCTAATTTCAAGTATATTCTAATAATGTTATCTAGTTATTTTGGAAATTATTAAAAGAGACTTACCAACACCTGATATAAGTATAGATAAAATTATGGTAAATTAAGATGATTACTATTGTGGAATACCTTTTATTGTAAGTAAATAAGATAAGACTACTGCTAAACAATGTGAAGTAATTCTACTGAAATAATTTTCCTTATTATGTAATTCTAGCACTTTAGTTTTTAGGTTAAAAATTTGGATGTGATAAAGATTTGATTAAGTGCACAAGTCTTAATTAAATTTAAGATTTACTACTTTTAAGATCAAATTTTTAGTAGGATTCTTTAAATGAAAACTCTGAATTGCTTTTAAATTATTTATAAATAGAAAAAGTAAATAGCGTCCATGCTAATTAATTTACAGAAGTCCATATGGTAAAACCGCCAAAATTCATTATTAAAACTTAAAATGAAGATACAATAGCTTTGAAAATAACACAGTAAAATTAAGAAATTTATGAATTAAGAGAAATTAAAATTATTGAAGAATTTAATAATGAACATCTTCCCTATTTATATGGGTATTTAAGATATTCTGATATCATTCTGTTATTTTTGAAAAAGCATGATTTGACATTTTGTAAAATATCATTACAATTATTTTAAAAGAGAAAATTATTAAAACCAGGTGAAATTGAATAAATTTTATTAAAATTATATAGATAAATGATAAAAGCCACTAGTTTTATACATTCAATTGATATAATTCATAGAGATATTAAACCAGACAATATAATGTTTGACTTCTCAAAACCAATAAATGAAATCAAAGATATTTTAGATATTTCAGTAACTTGTGTGTTTATAGATTTTGATAGATCTATCATGTATGACCATCTTAAACCTTAAAAACTATCTCATTATGAAGGTACTCCCTTTTATAGACCTCCAGAAGGAGAATAAAGTAAATATAATTCTAGTTATGATATATGGTAATTGGGATTTATGTGGTTAGTGATACAAAAATTTTTTTTACATCAAAATTCTAAAACCTATAAGGACTTTTGTCTAAAATAAAATTAAATATAAGAAATTAATAATGATATAAGAAAATTATAAAATGAAATGTAAGACTTAAATAAAAGAATGATTGATAATAATCAGAAATAAATTTTGAAAAATCAATTATAAAACTAAATAAATGATTTAATGAATTTATAAAGGTAATAATACTAATAATTAATATAAAAAATTGAAGAATAAGAAAGTTGTTTTATTTATAACAATGAATTAAAGAGAATAATCCAAAAAATGATAGAATTTGATCCTTAAGATAGAGCCACTTTAAATTAGGTCTAATTAGTATTAGATTAAATAAATCAATGAAATAGTAGAATTAAAAAATTTTAATATCATTTCACTTTTAATATTATAAAATGTAATTTTTATAATTCTATTATTATGATTTTTAATATTCAATCAAATTTCTTGTTATTTTTATAAGTAAATTTAATAATTTAAATATTTTATATAATTGATGCAATTTTAATAATGATAACAGATTTACAATAATAATAAAGTAATTAAATTAAAAAAATATATTTACAAAGTTTATTATAAATATATTTTAATTTAATAGATGATTATTATAATAATTTAATCCAATCTAATGATAATTCAAATCAATTAGTAAAGATTATTTTCTTTCTTTTCCAAATTTATTTCTTTGATTATTTAGATAGTTAAATTAAAACAAATTTATCTTTAGTAATTTATTGATTATTATTATCTTATTATTATATTCATTATTAAATAAGATAAATAAGAATATACTTATTAAATATATAGTTTAAATAATTCCTATAAGTTCAAAGATAATAAATATATTTAATATATTTTTTTATAATTTTTAATTCATTAATGAAGTAGTAAACATAATCTCACTAAAATAAGGATGATGATTATTTTATAAAACAATCAGAGTAAAGACTAAATTAAATCCATTATATAATGACTACTATTGAAAACAAAGAGAAGTATGCAAGAGGAAAGGGTAGAGATCTAACTTCATTAAAAAAGAGAAAAAAAGCATTTTAATCACTGGAATAAAAATTTAAGGAACATGAAAAAACATTTAAATCCAGATTTATAAATGATGGGTCTTAATCAAATAGAAAATTTAATCATATTTTAACAGAAGCTAGCTCTTTTTGTTAGGAAATTATACCTAATATATCAAGAATAAAGACAGTAGATTAGCATAGAGGATTAGATTTTTTAGCTATAAAGAAAAATTATAAGGAATAATCTGAATTAAATGTTGAAGCATGGTAAACAGATTAAAGATATCTTAAAATAAAAGAAGAATTAATATAAATGTAATAGGATGCAAAATTACCTGATTATTGTAAATTTTGCCTTATAAATAATAAAGAAACTCTAAAAAGAATGAATAGATCAAATCAAGAAGTTAAAGAAACACGTTTGTTATTTAATTTAAAGGATAAATATCCTCCAGAAAAATTAAAAGTTTTTATGGAAAAAATCTTAAGAAAATATTAAAGATTAAAATAAAATTAAGTACTTGTACCTAATGGAGTAGGATGGAAATTATTAACAATTAAGTCTAAAATACCTTAAAATGAAGATGATGTTTTAATTAAAGAACATTTATTAGAAAGAAAATAGCCTTCAAGAAAAACATAATTATTAAAAGCAAAAATATAATTCGTAAAATAATTGAATGATGAGAAAAAAAGAATGGCTGTTTATGAAGAAAGTGTATCATAAAATTAAGCTATTTAATAATTTAAGAAAAGAATTTTTAATAATAATAGTGAACCTAATTTAGTAATTCAATAATAAAGAGAATATATATAAAATGAATTTGAAGAATATAAAAAGCGATTAGAAAAATTTAAAGAAACAGCAAAAAATGATCTTTATTAGTTATCTCATCTACATAAGAAAAATTATGGAATAAGTCTTGAGTCTCGAGTTATGTCATCTTGAACTATATAAAAATCGATATTTAGATATTATTTATATATAATTTTAGTAATATATATATATATACAAATTGTTATATTAAATTATACACTTATTTTTGTTTGAAGATGACATTATTTTGTTAAAACTTTAGGAAAATAAGGAGCAATCTTAAGATGAGATCATAAATTTTATTAATAAATGCTATTATATTTACATTTACTCTTTGTATGTTATTGATAGCCTACATTTTAAATATGGGATAATCACTATCTATTCTAAATATTTCATCCCAAACATTAATGATTAATGAATTACAAAACCTATTGAATACAGCTTCAAATTTAATTGAATATTAGATTCTATTCTTTTATTCAAGAAGTAACTTTATATATATATCAAAATAGGTTAAATTACACTAACTAAGTTGAACATTTTAAATTAAATTGTATATAATACAGATTATCAATCACTTGAAAAACCATAATTATGTCCTTACAATGCTACTTTTTTTGATTCCAATCATTATTATCCACTTTCATGCATAATTTATCATTCTTTAAATGATGATACTTCTTACATAAATTCAACATAAGATTATTAATTAAGAAATTTATCCCATTTATTCAATGAAATGATATTATCTATAGATTTAACAGGATAATTTATACCTAATGACATATTTATGGTATCAGATAGCAATCCAAATGAATTTGCATTCTATTATCCATAATGGATTAAATATAAGACCTATAAACCTAGAAAAAGATCATGGTATTAATAACATTATGCAAATCTTAAATTAAATCCTAATAATCATACTTAATTATCAGAAATATACAAATATTTTAATGATAGTGATGTTTATTCAATGACAATGAGTTAATCATTTTTCAATTAGACAAAGAATGTAGATGGATTATTTGCAGCTGATATATAACTATAAAATGCTTATTTTAATAATAGAAATCTAAATATGATGATTGTAAATTATGATGGAAAATTAATTTTATCAAATTATAAAAATTATCTTTTGGCAAACTCTACTAAATATGAATCATTTGATGATGAAAAAACAACTGGTTTTAATAAATCTGATTGGTTAGCTATTTTGAATTTTATTAATCATAATAAAAAGGAGAGTACTTGTTCATCTATTTATAATACATAAAAATAGCTATGTCTTTATAATTCAGCTTATTANTTATACACTTATTTTTGTTTGAAGATGACATTATTTTGTTAAAACTTTAGGAAAATAAGGAGCAATCTTAAGATGAGATCATAAATTTTATTAATAAATGCTATTATATTTACATTTACTCTTTGTATGTTATTGATAGCCTACATTTTAAATATGGGATAATCACTATCTATTCTAAATATTTCATCCCAAACATTAATGATTAATGAATTACAAAACCTATTGAATACAGCTTCAAATTTAATTGAATATTAGATTCTATTCTTTTATTCAAGAAGTAACTTTATATATATATCAAAATAGGTTAAATTACACTAACTAAGTTGAACATTTTAAATTAAATTGTATATAATACAGATTATCAATCACTTGAAAAACCATAATTATGTCCTTACAATGCTACTTTTTTTGATTCCAATCATTATTATCCACTTTCATGCATAATTTATCATTCTTTAAATGATGATACTTCTTACATAAATTCAACATAAGATTATTAATTAAGAAATTTATCCCATTTATTCAATGAAATGATATTATCTATAGATTTAACAGGATAATTTATACCTAATGACATATTTATGGTATCAGATAGCAATCCAAATGAATTTGCATTCTATTATCCATAATGGATTAAATATAAGACCTATAAACCTAGAAAAAGATCATGGTATTAATAACATTATGCAAATCTTAAATTAAATCCTAATAATCATACTTAATTATCAGAAATATACAAATATTTTAATGATAGTGATGTTTATTCAATGACAATGAGTTAATCATTTTTCAATTAGACAAAGAATGTAGATGGATTATTTGCAGCTGATATATAACTATAAAATGCTTATTTTAATAATAGAAATCTAAATATGATGATTGTAAATTATGATGGAAAATTAATTTTATCAAATTATAAAAATTATCTTTTGGCAAACTCTACTAAATATGAATCATTTGATGATGAAAAAACAACTGGTTTTAATAAATCTGATTGGTTAGCTATTTTGAATTTTATTAATCATAATAAAAAGGAGAGTACTTGTTCATCTATTTATAATACATAAAAATAGCTATGTCTTTATAATTCAGCTTATTAATCTGATGTTTTTATTTCAGCAAAATAAATTAAAGGTATGAATTATTATTTAATTATATTTAACAATATTCAAGATTAAGCAACTTTATTTGAAATGTTAAATTAATTAATGGAAACAATATATTTATAATTCAAATAATAAATGCTTATAACTGGATTAATTTGTTGTGTATTTATAATCATATCATTTCTATTAATTTATTTAATTTGCAGACCTATGTTAAAATTAATTAAGTTATCTAATATTTATATAAATTCTCATTTAGTAAGTAAATCCTTTAAAGATTAAAAATTGAAAAGAGTTTGGACTAATTAAGAGAAATTTAATAATTTCATATAGAATTAAGTTTTGAATCACAATCCTGAGAAGACTAGCAGTAAAATAATTAATTAATATAGATAACTTAATGATTAAATTGATCTAACTATTTTAAAGATTATTTGATGGAATTTTAAATCAATAAAACAAGAAAAGTAATTAATGTTTTATTATTCAATCTTTTAATTACCCTAAGACTCAACATCTAGATATTAATATATCAAAATAAATCAAGGAGTGCTAATTTAAAAATTTAAATTCAGATGACTATAATTTGCTTTTGATTTACACTTTAAAATAATTAAAAAGACAGTTCTCTTTATGATTTTGTTATAATATTTCCTAATTTTATTATAATATTTTTATATTACTATCAAAATTTCTTTTTATATAAATAAATCAAAAGATTGAAATTCTAAATTAAGAGATTTACCTTTTTAAAAATGAATTGATAATTTTTTTTAATCATTGTATATCTTATAAGATAAAATCATATAGTTCATATTTAAAATGAAGTTATAAATTCGAGGCTCAAAAATCAAGAATTTGTTGATTTCAATGTAATAAATTTTAATATTAAAGTGAAAGTATCATGATAAAAGACACGAATTTGTCAACAAGATCTATATTTTATGATGATGTAGATGTTTAATGGCAATCAAGTTAATCTAAGGAATTTAACATAACATTATAAGGATTATTTCACATTTATAAGGAAGAAAAGAGTCATTACAAACTTTTAGAAGTCTCTTTTAGCAAACCTTATATTATAAAATAGTCTAGAAAATAAGTATATTATTATTTAACGTTAGGGTTCGAAAATTCTTGATATCACTAATGCTATAATAGAGAAGGTGAATAATAATATAGTTGGAGAAGGATTACTAGTTTAAAAAAATAACTTAAAGTTTTATATGTATGGTCAGGTAGAGAAATGGTTAAACTAAATGTAAGAACTCTGCATTTAAGTTAATTTTCATGAAGACTATTTTTTATACAGATTAATTTCTAATAGTTAGCAGTCTAATGTATCAAATTCTTATTATGACAGGTTTATATTGCAGAAGATCGGAACACAAAAATAGATTATGCAATCAAAGTATTTGAAAAGAATAAATTTGAATAAGAAATTGGACCCAAGGCTTTGAAATAAGAAATAGAGATTCTTAGACTCATAAAAAATGAGCATTTTACATAACTATTAAAAATTTATGAAGGAAATTAGGCAGTTTATTTGGTTTTTGAACAGTAAAAAGGAGGTGACTTATAGAGATTTCTAAATGAAAATGAAAATATTCTTACTGAAAAAACTGCATTTCAAGCTATAAAATAATTGTTATAGGGAATAAGTCTTATGCATAATCTCAATTATATGCATCGTGATTTAAAACCTGAAAATATATTGTTAAAAAACAAAGATTCTTTAGAAGAACTAATTATTAGTGATTTAGGTTTGGCTGAAAAAGTTAATAATGAATAAAAACCATTATTTACTCTTTGTGGAACTCCTGGATATGTAGCACCTGAAGTTCTTAAAAAACAACCTTATGATCATAAGGTTGATATATATGGTATAGGAATAATTCTATATACATTACTTACAGGAAACAATCCCTTTTAATCAATAATATAAGATGAAACTCTTGAATTAAACATGATTGGACATATCAATATAGATAAGGTAAATTGTTCGGAACTTGGCAAAGATTTACTTAAACAATTATTGTAAGTATCTCCAAATCGAAGACCAACTGCATAATAAGCACTTAGACATTAATATTTTAGAGATTAATCTCCAGATAAAATACTTCCAAAATAAAGCATTATTATCTCAAAATCTAAAATCCATTCTCTTCATAGTGAATAGATCTCTCCGCTTACACCGAATCTCAATTTTGATAAATTTAAAGCTCCTCAAAGTAAGAATATTATATAATATTGAAGTTTAACCATAATATTTAAGATAAGCCACACCTAAATTGGATATTCATCAAAAAAATACTATAAACTTAATGAAGAAATTTAGAAGACCTTCATGAAGTGAAATTTAATTATTTAATATAATATTAGATATTATAATAATCAATGATCAAATCTAATAAAAAAAAAATATAAAATATATTATAAAATGTTAATAATTAGTTGAATTTTATATTATAAAAAGATCTCTATAAATATTAAAAGTGTTAAAAGATATTAATAAATTATATTATGATAAAATTGCACTCTTTAAGAGTTTATGCATTCTCAATTAGATAAATTCATTCTTAAATTGCAATTGTAGGTGGAGGAACAGCTGGATTAAATGTTGCTGCTCAATTAATAGCAGATGGACATGCAATTCCATAACAAATAAGAATTTTCGAACCTATGAAGATGCATACATATTAACCAGGTTGGACAATGGTTGGTATGTTATAAATATAAAACAAAAGGTGGTGGCTTATATGACATCAATAAAACCCTTTAACCAATGGAAAAAGTTTTACCAAAAAATGTGATTGTATCTGATAGTCCAGTTACAAAAATAAATCCTGAAGAAAATTAAATATAGACATTCGATGGATAGAAATATACATATGACTAATTAGTAGTTGCAACAGGTATAAGAACAGATTTTGATTAGATTAAAGGTATAATAAAAATATAGCTATTTTAGGAGCAAGAAAGTATTTAGAAGACCCAAATTCACCTGTAGCCTCAATTTATCATTATAAATATGCTTCTAAAATGAATAGATTAGTTGATGAATTTGAAGGTGGAAAACTTGTCTTTTCTGAACCTTAGATGCCAATCAAATGTGGTGGAGCTCCATAAAAGATAGTTTATTTATCTTAAGATAGACTTAGAAAAAGAGGAATTAAGTTTGATATTCATTTCTATAAAACTGTTGCTTTAATTTTTGGTGTACCAAAATATGCTGAAATATTGACAGATGTATGTTAGAGAAAATAAATTAATTGTCATTTTAAATAAAAATTAGTAGAAGTATAAGATCACATTGCTATTTTTGAAGATTAAGATACAAAAGAATTGAAATCTGTAACATTTGATCTTTTACATTTAGTACCACCATAAGTATATAAAATAATTATATTATAGGTTCCAGCAAAATTTATAGCTGCTAGTGGATTAGGTGATGCTGCTGGATTTTGTAATGTACATCCTAATACTTTATAACATATCAAATATAAAAATATTTGGTCTTTAGGAGATTGTTCATCATTGCCAACTTCAAAAACTGCTGCAGCTGTTATGGCTTAAACACCTATTTTAGTCAAAAATTTAATTAGAACTTGGAAAAAGGGATTAGAACCTATTCCATAATATTAAGGTAAAAATTGATTAATATCTAAGGTTACACTTCATGTCCAATTTTTACAAGTTAAAGTACTTTATTATTAGCTGAATTCAAATATAATTCTGAATTAGATGAAACATTTCCAATATTTTAATCAAATGAAAGTCGATTAATGTTTTATTTAAAAAAAGATTTCTTCCCTTTTGCTTATTGGTATTTCATGGTTAAAGGATTATGGGGTGGAAGAGATGGATTTAGATTTTTTAAAGGAGCTTGAATATGATATTTAATCTAATTATTAAATTTACATTATATTAAAAATGTCAATGATCTAATAAAGTATTCAACTCTAAAAAAACAGACCCAAAGAATTAGATATTTCTTTAATTTATAGTGAAGATAATAAATCTTCACATATCAGTAATCATGTAATTAACTATTATACTCAGTTAGATAATGCATCTAAGATTATTTCACCACTTTAGTCAATGTCAAATTCTCTAATTAAGGAACCTACAAAATCTGATTGCCAAAATTAAGAATAAATGTAAGGATTGACAGGATCAAAATATTTATCTATAAATCCTACTAACTTAGAAAATATAATGAATATTAATGGATTTGAACCTAAATTATAATAGGAAATGGTCAAACCTGTTATTGACTCAAATATTATATAAACTATTAAAACAATTTCAGATGATGAACATTAAACTATAAATTTAGATCAAATTAATATATAGCTTACTGAAATTGAATAAGACATGTCAAATACCAATTTTAATTAAATATTAGCATCTTTAAATATCATTTTTGAAAAATTATCAGAGTCAATTAATTATAATATTGAAAATGAATTACCATATCAAAAACATATTGTTTATTAACTTAGAGTCTCTGTATTATTATCTAAAGTCTATAAGTTTATGGGAGATTATAGAACATCCATACATTGGTTATAAAGAATAAGAGAAAATTACCTAGTTTTTGATCCTAATTTTGCTGGTAAAATAATGGTTGAACTATCTAAATTATATTTCCTCAATTTTTAAATAAGAGAATCATAAGAAATCTTGCATTAAGCATTATTACATTTTGAAAAAATATAATGGAAAGCAGAAATTGCAAAAACTTTACTTTTATAGGCTCGTATGTGTTCTTGGATGAGTATTATTATTATTTTAAATATATTATAGATAATTTTGATTTGGCAACTAAATTATCTTATGGAGCAATATCTTTATTAAGAGAAGCATATATTAATGATGAAACCAAATTAGATTAGGCTTATTTTATCTTAGCTGAATGTCATTATGTATCTAAGAAATATGATACTGCTAAGGAATTCTTAGTAAAAGTTTTACAATTAAAATTATAAACAGAATAATAAGAGAATCATCCTACATTTCTTGAAACGTATAATTTATTAGGTTTAATACATGCTTAAATATATGATCTTAAAACATCTTATTTTTATTTTTGTCAAGCCTATAAATGCATAAAGTAAAATTATATTAATTATCAATTTAGTATAAATCCAATATAAAAAGGATAGATTTTAAATAATTTATCTGTAATATAGAAATTTCTAGGATAATTGGAATTAGCAGGAAGATGTTAAAATGTAGCAAATGAAATTTATGGTAAATTTTTATCAGAAAATCATTATCTCTTTAAGAGATTAGTACTTAATTCTATTATTGAATCTTAATAGTGATTATATAATTATTTATTTTTTTCTAACTAATTTAATTTTCATTTTTATTTCATAAGAGAATTTTATATCTAATATAATATATATAACTCAGATTTTATAGAATGTATCAATATGTTAAGAAATGCATGAACTTTTCTTTGTTTTCAAATGTTGTAGTTGTTGGTCTTCCTAGATCTTTTCTGACTCCTGGTTTAATCAAAATCTCCATAAGAATTGGACCATCATTTCGATTTAACTATAAAATATCAATTAAATAATAATACTTTCTCCATCCCTTTAATAATTTCCTCTTTTGTTTCTACTTAGAAGGCATCCTTATATCCACATCCTAAAGCAATTTGAGTAAAATTAACCAAAGGATTACTTGTAGGTTATGCACCAACAGAATCATGAGCTTGATTGTTGAACAATATATGTTTATAATTTTTTGGACCTATATTACCAATCTAAGCCAAAGCACCCATATGCATCATCATGGCTCCATCTCCATCTAAACAAAATACTTGTCTACTCTTCTTCACTTATGCAATTCCAAGAGCTATACTGGATGCATGTCCCATAGATCCAACTGTTAAAAAATCTTATTCTCCTGTTTAATTGAGAGATTATCTTAGTTCAAAGAGTTCTCTACTCAAAAAACCTGTAGTACTAACACAAACATCTAATGGACGAGTATTTTTAATGACTTCAGTTAAAGCTTCTTCCCTAGTTAATTGATAATTATTTTTAGCCACATTCTTTAATTTATAATTGGTGAAGCATTATCTCTTAACAAGTAGAGCATAAGGTCCATTTCTAAAAATATATTATAAATATTGAATTACCTAGTTTTCATTGAATAGAAGGCAGTATCAAGAACTTCTGCAGCGCCTTCAATATAATCTGGTAATACATCATATTGCATTCCCATTTCAGTAAGAATACCATTCATTCTCTTGCCTTACACTAAATGTTATGGTTCATCCTTTTTTCCTGGCTCTCCTCTCCATCCAATTAAGTATAACATAGGAATTCCATAGACTTTAGGATGAGCTAATGACATATAAGGATTAACAATATTTCCAAGACCACTATTTTATAAATACACACAAGGAATTTTTTTAGTTGCCAAATAATATCCAGCAGCCATTGAGACTGCAGTACCTTCATTTACAGTAATTACATGTTATCCTGGTGGAGCATTGTCCTTATAAATAAATGAGATTCATACTTAAACATAAGCACAGAAATCTTTTAATAAAGAATCAGGTACTCCAGCATAAAATGAAACTCCATGCTTTGACAATTCTTAGTAAAACTCAGCAGGTTCAAGAAAATCTCTTTATAATTCAAGATAAGGGGGTTCAATGGGTTCTCTAGACTTAGCATTAAAAAATCTCCTTGTAAGTTAGCGGCAAAACATATTTTGTAATAATATTTTATTCAAATAAATCTAGTAAATGCTCTAGTGAATCTTCTCTCTTTCTTAAAATTCTAAATAATATATTCTGCATTATATTTAGGATAATAATTCTTATAGGAGCATTTTATATCTATTTCAATGAGTGCTTATTTCTTCTTTTATTCTAATCTATTAACAATTTCATTAACAAGATCAAATTCAGGATTTATATCTTATTCACTAATTTAACTTTATGTATCATGCATAAAATCTACACTTAAAGATTTGCTAAGTTAATCTATATCTTCTTATTCATATAAAAGTGACAATTCTTATTTAACTTATTACTAAGCTTTCTAAATTTTTATTAAATTTAAATTATCTCTTCTTACATTATTTCTTTTGAATTGTTATCTTTCTTATTAATTATTCATAATTCTATTAATTAAGAATATTTTATTAGGATAGTAATGTGATTTTGGACAATCATTAGCTAAATGACTACTTGATTAACAACAAAAACAACTTAGATTGATCAAATTGTATTATCCAAATAAGATTTAATCTCTAAGTTAACAAAAGTATTGAAAATCTAATGGGAACTATTATAATAATTATATAAATTCTAATCTTTTAAGTTTATACAATTAAGATATAGTTGTACTCTTTGCTGACAAACTTCTTGGATTTCCTGTTAAGAATCCTAATTCTCCAAACATTGAATCTTACTCTGCTTCATAAAAATTCATATCTTAATCTTCAAATTATAGATACAATTATATATGTCCTATACTAACACAATAAAGACAATCATCATCATTATTTCCATTCAAACTAAATAGATTTTATTTAAAAACCATTTCTCCATCACAATACATCTATTCACTAATTAAATAGGCTATTTTTTTTTGAAAACTTATAAATTATTATTAATTTCAATACTCTAATGAAAATTAACTAGTCCAGAAAGTTCTTTTGAATATCAAACCATATGATTACATTATTACTTCATCCTTTAATTAAGGTCCCAATTAATTAATTATTTATATCTATTCATTAAAATCTCTCACTTTTTCACTAAACATAAAGCTAAAGAATCTTCTTACTTTTTGTTAGGTTTCCAAATCAATCTATTAATAATATAATAATTTTATTACATTTTTATCTTTCATGAATCTATTTATATCAGTCATTTTTTTATCAAATTCCATATTATGTTGAGTAATTTCTGAAAAAACATTTTAAAATGCACTAACTATCATAGCAAATATAACACAAGCAAAAATCATTGTTATAATAGAAACAAATATTTCTAATGGGTTTTTACCTGTTACATCACCATAACCAACTGTTAACATTGTTGTTAAAGCCCAATAAAATGAATATTCATATTTTATTGTTGCTGGTAATAAATATATATCATTTTATAATCCAGATGAAATAAGCCATGATCCATAATCTTATCTTTAATTAATCCAATAATCTCCTGCTGCATAAAACAAACAAGCAAATAAATTTACCAAAAAAAAGATTGTCAAAACTAATTTTAATATTTAATAAAATGCTCTCAGTTTCCTTTGCACTTATAATAATTATTCCACTTAAGAATCTACAAGAGTAACATAATAGTATTTGAAATAAAAGAGATATGGAATCCAAATTAAAAATGCATAGTGATCTCTAAAAGATACTTATAAAATTAATGCTAATATTGCTATAATATCAAATAAGAATTCTTAAGTAACATACCTAACAAAAATACTATGCTTATCCAATACTATTTATCCTTTATCATAATATCCTGTATTAAGAGTGATGAAGATATCAATTATCAAAAAAGATAACATTATATATAAAAATACAGCAATATTCTCAATACGCAAATTCTCAGAGATAATCTAATTTATTAAATTTCAATTTACTTCATATCCAAAAAACATAAGTACAGGTATTAAATAGAAATATATAATAACTATGAAGCAGATAAATAAACGCCAAGAAAAAATTGCCCAATGATCAGGATTGAAAGAAGGAAATGCATTTAAATATGCTTCAATTCCATTCGTATATCGTAAAAATTTCTTGGTCGCTATTGGAACATCTTCAAGCTATGATACATTTTCATCCTATTGAACATAGTTAAAAATTTGCATTTGCACATTCTTACTTATTCTATTACTTTCTACTTATTTTTTTGAAAGTAGAGGTTGTTCCAATGAAATGAACATTAAAAAAAATAATTATAATTTTTATGGAATTTAATTATAATTATATGATGACTAATATATTTTTATTTTTATCTAAATTATTAATTAATGTTGTANGGTTTCCAAATCAATCTATTAATAATATAATAATTTTATTACATTTTTATCTTTCATGAATCTATTTATATCAGTCATTTTTTTATCAAATTCCATATTATGTTGAGTAATTTCTGAAAAAACATTTTAAAATGCACTAACTATCATAGCAAATATAACACAAGCAAAAATCATTGTTATAATAGAAACAAATATTTCTAATGGGTTTTTACCTGTTACATCACCATAACCAACTGTTAACATTGTTGTTAAAGCCCAATAAAATGAATATTCATATTTTATTGTTGCTGGTAATAAATATATATCATTTTATAATCCAGATGAAATAAGCCATGATCCATAATCTTATCTTTAATTAATCCAATAATCTCCTGCTGCATAAAACAAACAAGCAAATAAATTTACCAAAAAAAAGATTGTCAAAACTAATTTTAATATTTAATAAAATGCTCTCAGTTTCCTTTGCACTTATAATAATTATTCCACTTAAGAATCTACAAGAGTAACATAATAGTATTTGAAATAAAAGAGATATGGAATCCAAATTAAAAATGCATAGTGATCTCTAAAAGATACTTATAAAATTAATGCTAATATTGCTATAATATCAAATAAGAATTCTTAAGTAACATACCTAACAAAAATACTATGCTTATCCAATACTATTTATCCTTTATCATAATATCCTGTATTAAGAGTGATGAAGATATCAATTATCAAAAAAGATAACATTATATATAAAAATACAGCAATATTCTCAATACGCAAATTCTCAGAGATAATCTAATTTATTAAATTTCAATTTACTTCATATCCAAAAAACATAAGTACAGGTATTAAATAGAAATATATAATAACTATGAAGCAGATAAATAAACGCCAAGAAAAAATTGCCCAATGATCAGGATTGAAAGAAGGAAATGCATTTAAATATGCTTCAATTCCATTCGTATATCGTAAAAATTTCTTGGTCGCTATTGGAACATCTTCAAGCTATGATACATTTTCATCCTATTGAACATAGTTAAAAATTTGCATTTGCACATTCTTACTTATTCTATTACTTTCTACTTATTTTTTTGAAAGTAGAGGTTGTTCCAATGAAATGAACATTAAAAAAAATAATTATAATTTTTATGGAATTTAATTATAATTATATGATGACTAATATATTTTTATTTTTATCTAAATTATTAATTAATGTTGTACATTTTATTTAACCTATTTTTTAATTTAATTTATAGATTAATAATTATTATTATTAAAATAATATTACAAGATAAAATATATCAACAAAAATATTTTCCTAAAAGTTTTTGCAAGGAATCTAATGAAATTGGTTTAGATACTATTTCATGCATACCACTCTCATGGGCTTTTTCGGCATTTTCTTATCCATTATAAGCTGAACACATTACTATAACAGTCTTTTATCCTTCTTTTCGAAGAATTTCCTAGATCTCTAATTAATTTATGCATCTATACTTCACTACTAACCACAAATCCATTCTTTCCAGGCATTTCAATATCCATAAATATCAATCTAAAGATCTTACAACAAGTATTATGCAATTTTTATTTTACTTTACGAATTGCACAATCACCATCATAAGCACTATCTGCTTTCCATCCAAATGCTTATAATAGTGCAAGCAATGCTATATGATTAAATGGTACATCATCAACTATTAATATTTAAGGACATTTGCATTATTAATTTAAGAACTTCTTTGATGAAACATAAACTCTTTAAGCTAAATCTTTAGAATTAGAAGCAATCTCTTCAACATCTTTTATAGAAGATTCTACTTCTTTAATTCCTATCTATATTTGTTCATCTATAGAGAAACTTACAACAGTATAGAATCCTTTTTCACTTTTAATTTGCAATTCTCCATCTCCACCTAAATATTTAACTATCCCCTAAGAAACTCTAAGTCCTAGTCCTAATTTATTTGATCCATTTTATTCAAAAAGTTTATTCTGTATATTTAACATTTAATCACTGCTAATCCCTTCTCCATTATCCCAAACTGAAAATACATATTAATTATCTCTTTTTTTAACAGAAAGTACTATTCTACCACCTTATTTTGTAAATTTAATAGAATTATTCAATAAATTCACTAAAATTTAAGTAACTCTTAATTTATCACTAAAAAGTTATAATGAACTATTAAAATTTAAAATCAATTCAATTTATTTTTATTGACATTCTGATTAAAATAATTATTTTAAATCATTTAAAATATCAGTAACACAAAATTTACCTAAATTTAGTTTGAAATCCTAACATTCTATTTATGCATAATCTAAAATGTCATTTATTTATAATAATAATCTTTTACTAGAAGTAATGGCAGGCAAAAGTAAAGTTTCATAGAGTTCTTAATCAATCTTTTTACTTAATACTTCCATTAAAGGCAAAGAACAATTTAATGGTGTTCTTAATTCATGACTAAAAGAATTAAGCAATGCCTATTGAAATTTAAATCTAAAAGTAAGTTCTTTAAGTTCTTCTTTATTTGTAATATTTTCTATTACAAACAAATATACTGGATCAATTGATTTTACTTATAATTTGACTTCATAAACTTTAATTTAAAAGTGTTTCTTTTTAGATTTAACATCTTAAACTACATGAAATTACAACATATGTGTTGTTTCAGATGTCATAGATTAACTATCTTATCCATTGCTCATTTATCTATGGATATTGGATTAGAATTCGTTCATAACAAATTATACATATGAATATGTTACTTCATCATGAATAATTGATTGAAAAGATTCTTTACTTTTTAAATTTACTTTTAATCGATCTGATAGCCAATTAGTTTAATTTAAGGTTCTCCCAGAACGAACTTAATATTGGTTTGCTGAACTTTGTTTGAGCTTTCGTAGAGGAACTATTGTTGGTTTATATTTAGCATGAAGATGTGTTTTAAAAGAGTTGAGCTCAGCACTATATGAATAAAGGTTAGATTTACTTTTATAATAATTAATCTAAGGAATTTACAATTTATTCAGTTGTTTAAACCATTAAATAATTTAATAGCTTTTTATTGTGATTAAGTACATGATAATTTTTATCTATCAAAGCCAATCCATATGGTAGACAATTAAGTAGATCTTCATCTAAAGTAACACTTACATTCTTTTCTGGATTTGGGGATTTCTCATCTAAAAAATCTTATTAAAATTAATCCCCATAACTCAAATGAGCATGAGGATTAGCTTACTTTTGAGTTGGATTGTTTGGACTTGTTGTTGTTTTTTCTAAAAATTATTTTTCTAAATGCAAGAGAGCATGGTTGAGTGGTTACCAGAAAACAAATAATATGAATTCAAACATTGTTTATTGCTAGTAAAATTATATCATCATCCTTATAGATATGTATAAGCAGAGCAAATGAGTCAAAATTTAATAACATTTATTGCTATTTTTTAATATGTTTTCAATTGTAAGTATATAGATTAGTAGGAAGTAATTATTAATGCTATGAACATTGTAAAATATAATTTCCAATTAAATAATTATCTAAAATTGAATCACTATGTTAATAATGTCCTCCCTCTATTTTTAATAAATGAGACAGAAAATGATTAAATTTAATAATATTCCAATAGCATTCTGAGTTAAGACTAGCATCTCTTTAGTCTATTAATTGCCAGCTTATATCAAACTTATTAAATTTTATAACATCAATTAAGTTAGCAATAGCTTTGTTTTTAATAGCATTTATTTATAAAATTGGAAAAGAAATTAATTATTTTAATTCAAGGCCTTTAGAGATTGATTTTGATTTCTAAATTTCATATAATCAAAAAATACTAATTTTGTAATTCTTAATTAAAATTAAAATGTTTACTCAAATCTATTGGAACATATAATAAAATATTTCTTTGATTTGATAAGTTATCTTCCTTTATTGAGAAATTAATAATGATCAACAGAAGTATACTAGAAATTATAGAATTCTAAAGCAGCAACTCAAAGTGACTCTATAATTAAGATATATCTTATATTATTGAAAGAGTTAAATTCTATTATGATTTCTCAATAGAAAATATAGAAGAGTTGTATAAGAAAATGAATATCATTATGGAGATGAATAAGTTAATTAATTTAATTAATAAAATCTGCAATAAGGGAATGTCTATTAGAATCGAATGAAAAGGTATGGTCAAAAAAATAGTTAATAAAGTATTAGCAATATTCATTAATCGATGATTTAAGAAAAATTAAAGAGAATTTATCTCTACTCAGTAATTTAAAATTTTTTATCCAAATTTAAATATAATTTTCTCATCAATTATTGTTAATTCACTATAGATTGATAAGTTTAATATCTTAATATTCAAATAATCATTTAGATTAAAAATACTATGTTCGGAATGTACATGATAATCAAAAAGTTATCTTTCTTAATTGATTAATAAACTAAATCAATTATGTTTTTAAAACAAATAAACAATTTTAATTCATCAATTATATATTTATTTTAGAATAATAATTTGATAATAATATCATGAATATTATGCTGAGGGTAGTTGTTCTAATTATCTGCTTTATTAGAATTTGACTTTTTATTATTATGATTTTTTTTTTGAATTTTATAAAGATGTTTCAGAAATTTTCTACTTATATTCATCTCTTGTTATCATATTTTTTGTATGTTCTTCCTTCCATTCTCTTTAGATATTGTGCATTTATGTTCTATTTTCAGCTTCTTCTCTATGTAGTTCTTCATTCATTTAATAAGCTGTTCTCAAATCCTTATCATAAGCCTAATTGAAATCAACTTTAGTTTTGACTAATCTCTTTGCTTATTCTGCAAGAATTTTTCTTTCTTTCAAATTAACTGATTCTATTCCTTCTTAAACAATCAATTTTTCATTTTATCTATTTTTAATTTCTCTTTCCAATCCTGTAATAATTTAATAAAATAATTACCATCTTATTAAGATTTCCAAGCTTTCATTTCTACCATAGCTTTATTAGCATTCATATATTATTATCTGAGTTTAGTTTCTCTTACTTCTGCTGCAATTCTTTATTCTTCTGCACTTTTTATTTATTTCTTTTAGCTGATCTTACTTTAGACTTCAATTAATTGTTCTTCTCTTATTTTCTTCCTCAACTCTTCTTCCTTTTACTTTTTCAATTTCTTAGCTTCTCTTTCCATATTTTTTTACTACGACTCTGCTCTTCTATGTGCCTTAATCTCTTAGACTTTTTTCTACATTGATGATAAATATTCATCTTTAGATTAAACTATTTCTTTTCTCTTTTCTTCTTCTTCTGCCTTTCTTTCAGCTTTGACTACTTCTAATCTATCTCTTAATTCAGCTAATGACATTTCCTCCAATAATCCATATCCCATAGTTTCAGTAGGATCATATCCTTTAGTTCTCTTAATTGGTTATCTTTCTAATTCTCTTATTTATTTAATGAGTTCTTCCCTTTTAATTCTAATTTATTCATCTTCTTATCTTTTTAATTCAAGTTTTCTAGCCATTTCTAATTTTTGATCTTCTGCCATTTATTTATTTTTCTCTTATACTTTTTCAACTTATATATGAACTTTCTTTTCTGCTTCTATAATTTGCTCAATCAATTACTTTTTATGTTCAACTTATTCTTATTATAATTCTTATCTTTCTTTCAATCTTTCAATTGCTTCTTCTTTCATTTTTTCAGCCAATATTCTATTTTCTTTAAATTTCTCTTCTTAAGCTCTCATAGCTGCTTCTCTTGCTAATTCCATTTCAATTTTCTTTTATTATTAATGTTCCATTCTTGCAATCTATTCAATTTCATCTTATTATTTTTTCCATTCTTCAAATTCACCAGAATCTCTAAGATTAACCTCCAAATTCTTTACTCTTTCTTTTTCTATTTCTTATTTCTTTTTAAGTAACATTTCTTCTCTTAAAATTGCAGCAGCATTTAATTTAATTTCAGCTGCTTCTAATTCAGTTGGGACAGGTTTAGCATACTTCATATTAAATTATAATTGCTTATTAAGAGTATCTTCAACCTCTTTTTTGACTGTCTCATAATTTGTTGGTCTTTATTCTGTTTTAAATTCAAATTATTTAGCTTCTTTATAAGTATCTTAAACTTTCTTCTTCGATTATTCTAATCTTTATTTATTCTCTTCCTCAACCTGTGATAGAGTTCTTTTATTTAAATAACTTGGAACAGGTTTACTTTTGTATTATTCAGGTTTTGGAGGTGGAGGAGGTTCAGGTTTCTTTTTGGTTTCACTTAATTTAAATGGAATTGTTTTAGTTGGTTATTTTTTTGTAGCTGATTATGGTCTTTCATCTTCTTCAACAAGTTCACTTTACTTACCTGTTGCTCTAGAGCTTAAAGAAGTTAATAAATCTTTCATCATGGGAAAGTGTTATTCAAGACCTCCAATAACAGTTTCTTAAATGTATTAAGGATCATATATTTCAATCCAAAGAGGTTTAATGTGTGTTTGTATTTTCTCAATATCAAAAAGGAATTACAATAGCACATTCATTTTTACTGGATCTTATTCATTTACCATTTTTTTGAATTCGTTATAAGGTAATTCATCCAATCTAAAGATGATTAGGTATGAAAATATTTGATATAGAGTTCCATCATTACGATTTGTAGTGCTTGACAATATTGTAAACATAGTTTTTGTGAGGATTTTAAGGAATTCCTCATATCTTTACACCCCAGAAAATACCTGAATGTAGAATCAAATGTTTACTTATTTAAGAAACATGATTTCAGTATCGAATAACTTCTTACAGTTTTCTTATATGTATTATTCACAATGAGAGTCAGGTGTTAATATTATTGGATTATACGATTTGATTAGATCAATCGCATGAGTTATTAGTTACTAATATCTCATTAAAATTTAATATTATTTCAAAATTTTCATATACAATTCATACATAAATAACCTACATAAGAATCAATAGAGAATTTGATAAGGACTTTATCAGAAATAAATTTGATATTAATATATTAGGTTATTTATTCATAGAATATTTATAAAATTTGAAGTATTTCTAAAACACCACTTCAATAATAAAATTAATGAGTGAAGAAGTTTGTTTTACAGAAATCAAAAAATAGAATAGTAGTAAGCATTTTCCATTGATAGACCTTACTGAAATCAAACCTCAAGTCAATTTCTTAGAGAGCTTATGTAAAATTCATCATTCTAATTTAATAGTATAGAAAAAGTATCAACTCAACAAAAAAATATAATAATACACACTAGGTAAAGTATATTTGGAGTCTCATAATGAGAAAGCTATATTTAGAGTATTTTAAGATTCTGATCTGAACATCTCTTCAATATTCTAAAAGAAATTAAATAAAACATCAGTTGATGATGATGTTATGACTACAAGTTCTTAAATTGCCAATGCCAATAGATAAAATAGGAAGGACGTAATTTTTAGAATTTTTGAAGTAGAGAAACCTCAACGTCCTAAATAGATTCCCTTAGAAGAAATGGAACGTTCTCTATTTGGTTCTACTTAAGATAACAATCCATTCTTCACATAATAACTCCAAGTAGCCAATGCAAGTAAATTGTTTTTATCATAATGAATAATTCAATAAATTATATAAAATACTTAATTCTTGAATGAGTAAATTCTATATTTAGGAAGGCTCCACTCTAACTTAGAACAGGTATTACTAAGAATGCTATCTAAAGAAAGAAAAAGATTTTGAAAAATGAGATCAATCAATAAAATTAATCAAAATTGTTATAATCTCATATTCTCATATAACCTTCAAAATCATAAGGTTATATGTAATAGTAGAATTCATTCTAATATTAATAAGGAAGATCAAAATAAAATAGAAATATTATAAATAGTTCTTTGCTTTAAGATATTGGAAATATTGATTTAGAAATTTAAAAAATGACTGAAGAATATAATAGTCCAATCAATTAAACATAAATTATGAATAGATCATTTAATTAAAAAGTTATTGTTTGCCAATAAAATTAGACAGATTTATCGAAGTAAGATTTTAAAATTACATAAATAAATAAAATTAAAAATTCTAATATTAATCATTAAAAACTCAATATCTCCAATAAACTTATTGAGAGTTCATATTCAAAATTAGCAGAATCTATGAAAAACTATTCAAACTTAAAAAATATGGTTGAAGTTAAAATTATTGACATACCTCAAAATAATATTTTAAAAACAAAAAAATTATTGAGTGTGAATAACTCATAGAATATTGTGAAGTAAAATTTGTCTTTCTAAATTATAGAACTATAAATCCTTAAATTTAGAAATCACCTTAGAAATTAAATTCTGAAAGAAACAAGGTATCTTTGATGAAACCAATTTTAAAGTAGACTTCATATCATACATAAGATTTTAGTATTAATCAAATCAATTTGATTCAAAATGTAATAGAAACTTGTATAATTTAGGATTCAATGAAATTTGATGATATAAATAATGAAATCAAAAGTATTATTAAGGATGATAATAAATTAGAGAAAGCAGTTAAAATTTATAATACTTTAAAACAATTAATTCAATAACATTCTATATTCTAATCAAGAGTTAATAGTTAAAAAGAATATAAAAATAGAATAAATCAATGAATTTTATAAATTTTTATAATATTATATTATAAATTTTATTCTTTTATAAAATAATTACATATATTTATATTGATTTTTATATAATAATTTATTTATAATTTATCGTCTTTATTTATGAGCTTTGAACCTTATCATTCCTCAAAGTAAAATTTTTAATCTGATAACAACTACTGCTATCATAATGGAAACAATCATGTAAGGTTGAAATATGCACCAATAAAAATTATTCATAATAAAGTAGGAGATAGTGATGAAAAAAGAAAATATCCTCCGTTAAATTTGAGATTTTAACCAGCTGATGAAATTACAGTAAAAAATTATTATTTTAAAGTAGACTCGTTAAGATCCAACTGTTACTATTCCTCTAAGTTTTTTATAATAATTAATTCAATAAGCTTATTAAAATAAATAATTACGAACTATTAATAACCCATCAATTCACATTGAGGAAAATAGAAATGATGCTGTTGAAGAGTTAATAAAATAAATTGAAATCTAATAAAAAGGAATTTATCCAATTGATGGTATTATAATATTATTATATTTTATAACAGAGGAAACAAAAGTTTAGAACGCACTCTTATAAAATCATATGAATTTTATGCTTGAAAATGATTAAGCAAAGGAAATTGTTGATAATTTCTTTTAAGATAACTTAAACCTTAAACCACATTTTTAAACTTGGTTAAAATAATTAGAAATCAAAGCTATCTAAGACATGTATATTCTTTGTCATTTTGATCCAAAAGGATAACAATGTTAAGATATTTTCAAATTATTATTTCAAAAACTCTCTATAGAATTTTATTCAAAACATGCTTATGCTTAAATATTGAGGAGTGATCTATCAGAGAAATTAAAATGTTTATCCTATATTGGAGAAATTTTTAATAAAATTGCTAAGCCATAAGAGTTTTATTATTTTAAATCAAGATGATATGAAACTGTAATCATGAGCTTAAATTGTTTTTCTGTATATTAGTTAATAAAATAATATCAAAATACATATCCAATTCCTTAAAAAGACAAAAGAATTTATTCTTAACTTTAAATTTCTCTTAATTCAATTTTAAATTTAAGTAAAAATTATCCAATCAATTAGATAAAATTCTAATTAGAATTTCAGATATTCCATTTACTCAGGCCATTAATAAATGAATTAATATTAATTATACTATTCCAAAGAAGTTTAATATTTAAATTATTACTATTGTTTATTATAGAATTTCTTATATTTACAGATCAATATTATTAAAAAAACCAAAAGTATTAATTAATAATTTGTATATATGTACTCGGTTGACTGTTTTGTCTTAATCATTAATTCAGTTTTTTAGTCAATAATTCTTATAATTAAAATATCTCTAAATTTCTAATTTTTTATAATATGCTGATGCCATTCCAGTTTAATATAGATTAAAAGAATTTTATAGGATAATAAAGTATAAATTAAATTCCTTTAAAAATATTAATTAAGAAATCTAATCTACATAAACAGTTATAATATCATAAAATTTTTAGATGATGACTGTTTAAATAATGTTTGAGTTAGGATTTAATAGATAAATTGATACTTTTTATACCTAATGGTAATAAATTTCGTATCCCATTCCCTAAATAATTTAAAAATTATTCGTTAAAACAAATACTGTCAGAACTTAATCTATATTTTTATAAGTTGAATATCTTTACTCTTTCTACTTTGTTATATATCTAAGATTATTATGAATTTGGCTATTTTGATAATAGAGATGTCAATAGAATTAAATAGTGAGCAATTATTGCTTTAAAAATAAGATCTTATGGAATATAATTAAAAGGGTCTTTTTTGAATTTAAAACTAAATAAAATCATAAGTGTAAATGTTAAATATTATTATTATTTATATCTATTATATCAATATAATCTAATACAAAAAAATAAGAAATAATTTGTAAAATAATAATTAATTATATGACATTATTTTTAAATTTTTGAATTCTTTTTTGGAAACAATAGATGAAGGTAATACCTATATAGGTATTTATTTTCCAATCAATTATTGTGATTCATATAGAATTGTAATATTGCTTTATTTGAATTGTAATATTTCTTGAATAAATTAAATTTATGTTTAAAAAAAGGATAAGATATTTCTATATTTAATGTGTAATAATAACTCACTATGTAAATGTAATCTTTTTGAAATCATATTATAAATATATATATCAATGGAGTCTTAATTTGATGGTAGTTAAACCAAAAAAAAATATGCAATAATAACACCAGCTGTTAGGATGGCATTCATAAAACGAGTTCAATCAAGACAGTCAACAATCAAGTAAGCAGCACAAGAATTTGGAATTAAGTTTAGTACATCTAAGGCTATATTGTAAACTTATAAAAGAGAAGGAAGAGTTGGTAAGAAAAAGACACGATCTAGAAAAAGCATTTTAAAAAATGAATCAAAATAAGAAAAACAAGATGAGAAATAATAACCAATTGATTCAAATGATTAATAATCTCTCTAAAAACCTTAACCAATCGATATAACCTAGATGAATTTCCAATAATAACAAGCCTTATAATTTCAAATACTTTAATTAAGTCTTTCAATGAACCCTTATTTATTTCTACAGTAGTAATTTTTTTATCTATTTTATTAGAAACTAATACTTATAACAAAGTCTTCAACAAATTCCTAACCAATAACTGTTTTATTATCAATGGTAAATGAATAACTTGAGAACATAAGCTTAATAATAATAATTTGGAAAGATTCTTGATTAAAGATAAATGATTACTCCAGTTCATTCTAGTAAATTGTTGGATACCAAAATGGATGAAATAGGTGCAACTTTGAAGGATTTTAATTGAATTATGAAAATGATGCATTATTAATAAATACTCATAATTTAAATTCTTATTTTCACTTTAATTTAATTCATTAATAATTTTACAATGGGAGGAAATTCATCTAATATTATGAAACCAGCAGAAATAAAGAGTGAAAAAACAGTTGTTGTATATGGTTCAGATAATTGTCCATATTGCTTTAAAGTGAAAAAGATTTTTGAAGAATTAAATGTTCAGATTGATTATAGGAATGTTGATGAGAATAAAAATTATGATGAAGAAAAATAAAAATTAATGACCCATTTAAAATATGATACTATACCTTTAGTATTTATAAAGAATGAATTTATTGGTGGCTGCTCAAGTGTGAAAGAATTAGAAGCAAAAGGAGAACTCCTTAAGAAAGTATAATGATTGAAATTTAAATACAAAATATTTATCATAATTTCATTTATGTATATTTTAATCTTTATATGCATTTTTCTATCACTCTAGAATCAAAATAAACTTATATTTCTTTTTACAATTATATATATATTATAGATAAATAAATATAAAGAATATAGATTTTTTGGAAGGATTCAATATTACTTGTAAATCATCCTTAAAAATCTATATATATGAATACTCAATATATTTATATTGTCAATTTAAAAAGTAGAGTTATTTTTTATACTTTTTAATAATCATTATTAAATTAGTGTCGTTATTTAATAAAATATGAAACATACTTTAAAGCATGAAAATAATTAGAGTAATCCATTTATGAATCATTATGATTTATAATCAATTGAAAATAATAAAGAAAATAGATAAGCAAATAAAATATTATCAAATATAGAAAGTAAGATTTCTTTAATAAGCAAATTGAAAACTAATGCATTTGATAATTATAAAAAAATGAGTTAAGATACTAAACAAGAAAAAGAAAATAATAAGATTTCTATTAACACTAAAATATAATTCAATTCTTAAACAATATTAAAATAACCATTTTGCAAAATTACTAATATTTTAGCACATTATACAGAAGATAAATAAGAATAATAATAACCAAAAAAAACAATTAAAAACAATTTAGATTTGAATTAGTTATGCAATCAAGAAATTTAGATTGGAAATTTTAAATTAGAATCAATTTTGGGATAAGGTTCTTATGCAACTGTTAGATTATGTATTGAGAAAAATAGTAAAATTAAATATGCAATAAAAATATATGATAAAAGTAAAATAAATGATAATCAAAAAATGAATAATATTAAAAGAGAAATCTCAATTTTAAAAAGAATTAATCATAATAATATCATTAAATTAATCTATGCTATTGAGGATAGAAAATCAGTATTAATTTATATATCATAGATAAACTTAGTAATGGAATATATTTCAAATTAATCATTAGCCATTTATGTTAAATCTAAATCCAAAAGACTACTACCAATTTAGGAAGCATTATACATTTTTCAATAATTGGCTAATGCAATTAAATATTTACATAGTAAAAATATTGCACATAGAGACATTAAAATGGAAAATATACTTCTTCTTTCAGATAACTATGTAAAATTAATAGATTTTGGATTTTCTATATGCATTTAAGATAATTAAAAAGTAAATGTATTTTGTGGAACTCCAAGTTATATGTCTCCTGAATTAGTTTCAAAAGTAAGAATACTCATAATTTTAGGTACCTCACAATCCATTATGCTCAGATATATGGTCATTAGGAATATTGTTATATAGAATGATTTTAGGAGAATATCCTTTTAAAGGATAAAATGATAAAGAATTGTATAGAGCTATATAATAGAATAAACTTAAGTTGCCAAATGATATGAATTAAAATATTGTTAATTTAATTAATGGATGTTTAGAGAAAACAATTAGTTAAAGATTAACAATAGAATAAATTTTAAACAATCCTTTATTTTAATAAACTGTGAATATATATGCATTATCTTGATATAAGTAATCAATTATCAACTTTCTGTTTGAAATTAAATTTAAGAAACTGCAAAGTTTTCACTTTTATGGAGAATCTATTTCATATAAAGATTGATATATACTTCTTGATATTTTTATTTAATATTTCTTCTCATATCAGGTAGAGTAGATTTAAAAAAATAAATATTTTTTTATCTTTATTGTCTTTCTCTAAGAGTATGAAGTTTATCATTGAATTTTTCATCTTACTCTTTATTTTTAGATACTTTTATAGGTTATGGGGGAAAGTTAATTTCTGGTTTATATGAGAAATGGGATTCAATTTCTTATATTTTTTCCAATTCTTTTTTTAAATTGGCATCATAAAATTGTTATTTCTTTTTCAAAAAGTTCTCTTATTCACTTAAGAAATGTTCAAATTATTCAGTAGTACTATTGTATTCTTTGATATTTATAAAATTATACTTTTTGCTAATTCTAATTCTTATTCAAATGCTTTCTATTTTTAATCAATCATTTATTATAATTTTGCTTTTTTTAATTGTATTTCATATTAATATCTTAGATGAATAGGCATTGTAGTGTAATCAGATTTACTTCTGGATTCTCTATTTAAATTTTCTGTTAAATCAGATTGTATTTAATTAGTGCATTTATATTAAGTTGTTTTATCATTAATATCATCAGGTTTATCTTCTATTTCCTCATCTTATTCAATAATAATTGTTGTTCCTTTTTTTAATTTTTCTAATTTTTAAAGAGGTGGATAATCACATGATCTTTAAGTAAATTAATTTTTGAATTTAATAAAGCTATTTAATTCATAATGATGTTTCAAACCTGACTCATAAATTTTAAGAGTTTCTTTAGATAATATAGGTTTTTCCAAAAGCTTCTTTTCTTATTCATTTTAGTATTTTTCTTGTTTCTCTTTAATTTCACATTATTTCTTTTTCCCCCATTTAAGAAGTCTTTCTACTACTTCTTATTACTCAGATTATGATTAATGTTATTTATGTTCTATAGTAAAGTGAGACACAGTACTAATTAAATCCTTTTACTTAATTTGATATTTCTATATAGGGGAAGTACTTGATGTAAAACTTTTGAATTTCTAAAATACTATAGATTATTTCTTATTTACATTATGATGATGAAGAATTCTTAGCATAAGGTGAAGCAGATGTCTAAGTTGTACATTTCTTGTGTTTATTATTGTCTTAAATTAAATAATTAGAATTTACTTTAACTTGATTTTATTTCCTCTGATTCTTCTTTTATAATATCATTTTTAATAGTATTAGATGCCTTTTATTTGAAATAGGACTATTAAGAAAACTTTCTTAAATTCATGAATATAATAATAAAAATTTATTATTAATAATTTTAACTACTCCTATTATCTATTATGGAAAATGATTATAATATATATGGATTAAAATAATGAGATTAATAATCTTTTTTCATTTTATTAAATATATATTTTAATTCAAATCATTTCTATTTATTTTTTAAACTTTCTGCATCTTCTCTAAATATACATTCCATAACATCAGCTAATCCTTCAAAATTAAATTCAAATTTTCCATATGCATTTGGAAATAATGCAAATGCTAATCCTTTAGCAATCAAATATTGTTTTCCAAATTAATAAAATTAATATAGGATATAAGCATCTTCTTCTGGATTTTTAAATTCTTCCATTTCATCTTCTTAAATAATCTCCTATAATAAATCTCTTGCATTAGGTTAATCTTCAACTAACTCTTCTAGACCTAAAGATTTAAGAAAAGCATCCACATCTTCCATATTTTTAAATTATAAATGAAATTTTGAATGTTTAAAAAGAAGAGGGAATGTAAATCCTTATTTAAATTTTGATAGAACCTTTTTTTATTACATTTTCTTTGATTGTGCTTATTATAATAAAAATAGTCCTAAATTGAATACTTTTTTTGCAAGTGATGAATTAAATTTAGCTCTGAATTCAATCAAAAAACCTTCTAACAAATATTTAATAAAAATTTAATTCTTTTTCATCATTTTTTTCAATCCATTTTTTACACCTACATTAAATTCAAATTAAGCATCAAGATCCTCTCCTAATTAACCTAAAAAAGGATTGTATTAAGTTTCAATAAAATCTTAAACTAAAGGATGTTTAACTGTAAATTAGAGAATTAACTATAATAATAAATAATAAAATTACACTATCTGTATTTGCAGACACTTATAATTCACACTTTGAAAGAAATTCAAATATTTCAGTTGAATCTGAAGATCCTTCCTTTTATAATTTCTACAAAAAATCATTGTATAATTATTAAAATTTTTATTTTGCTATTTCAGGTTACAAAGAACGAATTATTAAAGTTAAATCAAAATATTATCCTTAAGTTAATTAGATTCCTTTTAATTATTTATTTTCATTATTTAAAGCTTCAGCAATACCTTTACCATTATATTATATAGTGCTATCTATTCTTAAATGACAAGGTTGATCACCATAATTTATTGCCCAATAATGATGATCAAAATTATTATCTTATTTTTCAAAGAAAGAAATTCCAAATCTAGTGAATTCTGAATTAACTTTCTTTAATAAATTCATAAGTTTCAGTTTCATAAAAACTAATTTTTCTAAATGTCCATTTTTTCCAAATTACCACCAATTCCAAAATTCATCAAATGATATCTAATTATCCTTATTTATATCAACAACTGCCATTAACTATAAATATTAACATAACCATACTTTATCTATCTCTTCTTAACTAAGTTCTTAATTTAGTTATTAAGCTATTGCATGAAGTTCTTATTTATCTACATATCCACTTCCATCTTTATCAAAGCTCTTAAATACTTGATGTAATTCAGTTTTGCTTTATCCTATCATAAAAAAATATATATATATATATTTATAAAATAAATGATGTAAAATATTATATATATATCCTAATTCCATTTTATTTTTATCAATAAAATATAAACTTAAAGTAGTAATATAATAAATTACTAAGTGACTTTATTTAAAGAAGAATTCTAGAAAAAAGATGATAATAAAATTAATAAATAATATAATTGTATTATTATTTCAATTAATATATAATTAATAATAATCATTAATATCATTTTTTGTATCCATATTTTATTTTCTTCATTCTTTTATATTTTTAATATAGTTATATCATATTTGTTCAAATATTACTATTATATTGATTTATTTAATGAGAATAATTAAATCAAAGTTTTTGTAATATTTAATTTAAATATTTTATGTTATAATCATCATAAAGTCATACAGCACCCATTCAATCTGCTAGTTACACTGTTACTCTCTTAAAAAAGTAACTTAAATGTAATTAATTGATCTTAAATATAGAATTGGAAGAGAGTAAAACAATAGAAGGAGTTTCAGTTGGGTTAGAAGGAAATAGTTTATATTCTTGGAATATTAGTTTTGCAGGTCCTT